TGCCCGATTTTCCCACTTTACGGAACTTACTACTGGCTAGGTAAGATTTAGGAGAGTGTTCCACTTGGAGTCGAACCAAGACGACAACAAGGCAGAAATAAAAGCGGATGGCATTCAAACCCCACACAAACTCAATTAGAAACAAGCTTTGTCGGTTAAAGGATCAATCCTGTGGAGCCTTTAAAACAAAACAATTTAGTTTATCTAATACCCTGCCTGCGATTAACAGCGCGCTTTTCGATTAGTGCATTACGTTTTCGCTGATACATATAAAACTCTCATTTCTTTGTTGTATCTCACTACTTTCGAACACTGAATCTGTTGATTTAATATTACTGACTACTTATACCTATAACAAAGTATTTTTTGACATTTTGTGACCTTTTAACACTAACATATCTAGCGGCGAGTTGATCGTCAGTGCGAGGGTGACTTGGAGGAGGTCATTTGAGGAGGAGATGAAAGCATGTGGGCAGACTTGGAGCGAAGTGAAAAAGTTGGCAGAAAACAGAAGGCAGTGGAGACACGCAGCTGAAGCCCTATGTTCCTCTAGGAATTAAAGGATATAACAATAATGATAATAAATAATACCCTGCCTGCAATAATTGTCAGGTCAAATTCATAGGTCAAAATAGTAGAACAGGGGCAGCAGACTAGTCGAGCCTAAAAACCTAGCAAAATCTAGATTAGTTGACCCAAATAAGATAAGAAATTTAGAGAATAGTTCAACTACCGCAAGCACTGCATGCAATTACACACAACCATACAATATGATGGATGGGATAGGATGACAGTTTTAAAATTTAATGTCACAGGGTGGAGGGAGAGATTGATAACACAAGCTTTGATTATCGAATCAACTGCAAATCAACACGTGTAATAGGAATGATTCAGCACCTGTCCACTCAGACATCTAGAAAATTCTACTACCCCTACGACGACAAATAGGAAAAGACAAAGAAAACTATAAAACTCAAGTTTCGAAGTCGTGTGGTTATAATTGATATGATTATGAACAGTAATAAATTCTGTTTGAAACGTCATCCAGTAAATAATACTGTTTCACTGTATGATGCATCTAATATACAAACTGATATGGAATTACTTACTACCACAGTGCTCAAGTTTTACACATATATTGATGTGACCACAACCGTGGTTGGCGAACATTTCACCAATGAGCCACCAAGTTTATCCTGTGAGAAAACTATGTATCAATTCAGTCTAAATCAGTAGTATGTACCGTCATTCATTTATGCTTGTTTTATTGATTACCATTTAAATAGATCAGATTTCCTGACCTGAACATTTTGGGTTTCCAAAGGGAACCAAGGTAAAATTTCGTCTCGAATTATATATATCGCAAATTGCGAATTAGATTCTATCTATTATTATTAATTCCCCCAAGTAGCTAGTAAGAACTCAGATGGTTTGAACTGATTAGGTTTTCCAAGCTGGACCATTCCGAATACACCTCTGATGAGCTCGACTCCAAACACACCAGACGGCACTTTGATGTTTAGATCATTTCGATTTTACTGGCGTCGGTGGCACAGCGGCTGGGACTGTCGCAGACCAAGCACATGGTTCAGGGTTCGATCCCTGGTCGAGGTGCACCTGATATAATAAGCTGGCCTGATAAATTTGGGCTACCCATATCACATGCTGAAAATTCCATAGTTGTACGAAAAATACTGTGTGGAATCAAACTATAATAAAATGCAAAAATAATAAAAAGTCTTGCTGGTTTTCATAAGTGGTTCTTCAACTACTGATATCAACCAGTAGTGTATATCGTCATGCAATTATGTATTAAGCAGATTTATTGAACCCAACTAATTTAAACGCAAATGTAACAGTCCATAAAGTTAATGTACTGATGACAATGGGTAGGATATAGCACCGTATAGCATGATCTGTGATATGGCTTGCTATATCATGAAAGGACAGACTTAGAATTCATGGGTCACTGAATTCCACCCCAATTATCTGAATGGTCAAAGAGCTTCGTCTCGTAACCTGAAGGTCCTGGATTCGATCCCTGGTGGGAGGTCGTCAGTGCGCACTGTTGAAAAGTCCTAGGATAGGACGAAATTTCAGTGATCTCCCTACATGATTTTGGATCATGAGAAAAATCTAACAAATGAAATAGTTAGGAGACCATAGACCTAATTTTCGTGATTGACAGCACTCGTCAGCAAGGTGTATCTACAAACCCAAGGAAACTGATTTCTCCTCTGAGATTCAAACCTTTATTACTCAGTAGTAAGGTCAGAGACGTTACTACTGAGTTATTCAGGATGACGGTTAACCTCTTGTAATGGATAAAGTGTTTATATAAAAGTTTTATTAAACGCTTTAGTCCCAAAGAATTTCATTTTTTTTATAATACCTAATCAGAAGTAAACATATTCAGCAAATATAAAAAGGTATAAGATGAAGCAAAATTATCTGATGTTAGTAAATAATCGATTTTTGTAAATGCTTTCCCTCTGTGATCGCTTCCCGAAAGCTGATTCCCCAATAACTAATGTCTTCATTCACTGAACATTATAGTCCAACCACGTTCAATTCATTCACTGAATAAAGAAACCAACAGAAATTTCCTGCACTTATTTTAAGTGGAATCGATTGAACAGAAAATTTTAATCAAATTAATTTATTATTCCCCTAGGTAGGAACAATATTATGAAAATAGCGGAGAACTTGGTGTATGGTAATTAATGCATATCAAAGGAGATTTCGTCACGAACCAACATTACTTAAAGTTCATTGAAAACGAGGAAGCCCTGGACGGCCGTTTCGCCCTAGTTAAGGACTCTTCAACATTAGGCACCCACGACTCTCAACAAATACCTTCGAGAGATATATCTCGAAATGACGAAATCAGAATTCAGGAGTCATTGGATTCCTACCCGAGTGACTGGATAATCAACGAGCTTGCTCTGGCAACTTAAGGGTTTCGCATCTCTGGAGAGGTTGTGGGTGCACACCACTGAAGAGTCCAAAACTGAGATGAAACAGTTGTCCGGTGATCTCTGGTTCCAGTGTCCTCTAACTGAGGTTGGTTCATGACAAAATCGTGATCTCTACAAAACCTCATAATATAAATATGATTTAAGTGAATGGACGACTCAATGATTTTGTAGCGATTCATAAAAGTTTAGGTAATTAGTGATGACGTCATGAAGGAGAGATCAAGTTTAATATTACCACAGAGTTCTCTTTGAGATTTATGAAGTAGATTTAATCTAAGAAAAAATTGATTAAAACCAAATTCTATTCCTAACTCCCATTCCTATAGGATTATAACTAGTAATATATTCCTGTAATTCTAGTGGTCGAATCTAAATTAAAATCATTTGGATGAATACGGACACTAATTTCAGGAACTGTAAGTTGTTGAACGTAGGAGAGATTTTTTACTCAATTCAGCCTTAGTTACTGGTATTGGCAGGGTCAGGGTTACTGAGTCGGTCACAATCTTGGTTCATTATTCTCTAACTTCACAAAGAAAACTACAATCTAAATCGTTAACATCGTTGTACTTTACAAATTCAATGGTGACATCTCATAGTCGTAAAGCAGGCGAAGGTACAATACATTGTGCCCTTAATATCTTAACTTTACAACAGGTGGTAAAGAATTTGAAATATTAAAAAACTTCATCACACCTAACTAAATAGGGTTGATGGAGTTTCAATTTGGTCATTCATGAAATAGGTATTTACCAAAAGCAGTACTAAAGTATCTATTAACTTGAATTTGACGGAATTCGTATGCATACCAAAATTATTCCTGTTTTTATTCAAGAAGTATAAAAAAGGCTAAATTTTCTCAGCATCTTTGTTTAACAAGACTATATGATTTATTTATTTGATACCACCTGCTGCAGCTGCTTGTGTCTACAAATTTAATTTATGTGCAGTAACCTCCATTAGTACACCATAGAGAAAGTTAAATAGCAAGTGGAATGGTGGACGACCAGAATGGGGGACATCTCTCTGTATTCTGTGGCACAGTTTATCTTTCCACAGATTCTTGTTTTCAAACTGCAAACATGGAACAAGTAACTATAAATCTTAACATCGATACTAAACAGTGATTTGATGCACACGAAAACGGAATAAATTCATATTTGATCACGAGTTGGCATCATTTAGGGAGCTATTGGAAATCCAAGGGGGTCTGTGTGGCTGTTTCGTCCTAGTTTCCGACTCCTTAGCAGTACGCATCCGTTGAGGTACAAATTCAGGATCTTCCGGATAAAAGGCGATCTCGTAAACCATTCAGCCATTGAGACCCAATCCAATGATCCATGAATTCCAACTTTTGCCATTCCGAGATATATATATATATATATATATATATATATATATATATATATAACATAACCACCAGCCAGTGTGAAATGCGAGTGACTGTTCTCTTATCTGACTTAGTGGACCCCGCTGGTTACGAGTTCCCACTAGAACTCCAGGTAACTGCCTGTTTTGAGCCAGTCACTAGTGAGCATCATATTAATTAACGAGTGTTGGTTTAGAGGTATTTGATTGGTTACAGGTTTTATCAGGAATTGACATCAGTTAGGGAACCATTAGGAAACCTGGGAGTACTGAAAGGTGATTTCGCCCTAGTGTGAGACTCTTCATCAGTACGTACCAACCAGGTTTTCAATCATCCAAAAATAATTCTTCACGAAAGCGGAGTGAAGCACAATCAAACCGCATCTTATGAATCCAGTCCTCTTAGTTTATTCATTTGCTAGAAACCTAAAAGTCATACGAAAGCTCTGATTTTCATTGTTTTTCGACAAAAGTAACAATTTAATCTAGGAATAACAAATATTCTGTGGTCTGGTGCTGTTTTTAAAATTTAATACTTAATTTGTCTCAGTTTCTACTTAACAGTAACACTATCCATAACTGTAATCTTTAGAGAATAATTTAGTATAAAGGGGTAATGTGAACTCGTATCATCAATACAAAAGAACAACTTACTTTCGATTGTTTAATTTTCTTTGGTTTTTTAATTATCTCACATTCTGATTTATTTTTTGATAATTTAAATAACTTTAAACAAGACATTCCAAGTAATGCAGTGATGAATTAGTTATTGTTAGAATAATCCCAAAACAAAAATGAACTACCATTGTCTGAGAATTTGCCTATCACTGAATTTGTACGACCATAAAAGTTTAACCTTGACCAAATGAATCAATCCTTCAAGCTGATTGGTTAATTTATGAGGACATGTTACAAGGTAAAATGTGTGTTCAGTGAGAAGAATAAATATACATACATATATGCGTTAAGAAATACTTCATTTTTATAAGTCATTAGGTCAATTATAGGATGTTATTTAGTGGTGTATTTCATCGTAGGATAAGTTTTTAGACTGATATAAGAATTTACAACTACAATCCTATCTTATTGGCTAAAAAATGTTAACATACGTTTCACGTTTATTGGAAACTAAGTAGTGACTAATTCCATGAGTCTATTCCTTTGGTTGGTGTAGATTGAATTCTGTCAGTCTAGATTGCAATGTGGCACTCTCAATCGTTGTTGTTAGGTAGTTGGAGGCAATCGCTAGGATGCCTTGGATCTAGGTTTCGCGCTTGTTCACACTTACTAGCCAGCAAGGCGTATCTGCAGCCATAAAGGTACCGATATCCCTTCTGATCCTTTAACAGACAGTATTAAATCTGCACCAAAGGAAGGATCAGATGCATGATATTATTTACTACCTAGTTGTCAGTCTAAGTATCCAATGCACTCCTAAGGGAGGTCAATCACAATCGCGAATAGTTCAATGGTGACATCTCTGAATGTAGTACTGGGTGACTCGTGTTCGAATCTCAGAAGGGATATGAGACCCTTCAGGAGAGTAGATTCATCTTGCTGACTGGGGAGAGTCAACAGGCTCAAAACCAAGACCCAAGGCTTCCTGCAGATTGCCTCCAGCTATCTAACAATAATGGGTTTCGTGTATTAAAATATTTATAATAATTGAAAAACTTAATCACTCCAAACGGATACAAACCGATTGGTTATATTTCTTAATTAGACTGTTTTCAAGGGAATTAATGTTAGCTGTGATCTTAATGGAGTGGAGACAATTTATAAATAGCCCTAGTTTATCAAGGTTGGGGGGTTTTCGACTTTCATCACTAGAGTATATTTGGCTCCTTAGAAATAGGTACCACTTCAGATATATATCTCTTCGTTCAAATGCTATAATGACAGAAATTTAGACTCCAACTGGTAGACTTCATCACGAATCAACCTCAGTTAGACAGATCATTGAAAACCAAGGTGCACTGAACCACTGTTTCGTCCTGTTCCGGGACTCTTCTAGACGGATATCCTGAATCTGTAGTGGGAAGTCGTGATCAGTTGGATCCAGCTCGTCAAGGTGGAGTGGATGCTCATCGAAGGCACTGGTTAGGGCTAAAGTTATATCAAGAACTGGAAAAGTTAAAATTGATGGATCACTGGATTCCAGCCGAAGTGGCTGACTCGTCAACGGGCTTGGTCTCACAACCTGAAGGTCTAGCGTTGGATTCCTGATGGGTTCGTAGGAGCTCACGGATGAAGAATACCAGGATAGGTCGTCCAGTGCTCATTGTTTCCAGTGATATCTCCAAATGATGTTGGTTTGTGAAATGAACCAAGCCCCCACAAACCCCCCAATCGAAAAATATTTGGATCTCACTAATTTCTGTTTACTTTCTCAATAAGTAGGATTATGTTGGTTGTAAAATAAGACAAACCTATTGTTGTCCGTAGTTTCATATCTGCTGCACCAAGTCAGAATTATACATAGAATGAAATTCAGGACCCTAGATGTGAAAGTTTATGAAATTTTTAGATGAAAACAGAAATAGCACTTGAATATCTGCGGATACATACTCGATGAAGCAAGTTTTACGGGCGAATATTATCAGCCGGAGATATAAGTGGCCTAGATTACACTACACAACAAGATATCTATAACTGTCAGAGGATCAGGAAATCCAGATAGGTGTTCATTACTCTGAAATCAATGTGAAGATCTACAACGCTTAGCACAAGGAATAAAATCTGGATTTTTAACATTAATGTGAAGTCAGTGGTTCTGTATGATTCAAAGAATCGGTGCGCACCGTCAAAAGCCTTGGCAATATGCTAATGAAAACCTTCATGAGTAGCTGCTCTCCCTCCTTAGCTCGATACTGAAGATCAGATGGCCAGAGAGTGCAGGCAACAAGGAACTGTAGCAGACAAATAGCTAATAATCTATTACCAAAGAAATATGCAAAAGGAAATGGAGGTGCATTTGGTCTACACTGAGAAGATCATCAAGTGATATCGCACGACAGTCCGTCGGGTGGAACTCGAATGGGAGGTGATGGACTGCGTGTTCGAGAGTGATTTAATGGAGATCACGAGAACAGGAGATATGAAAGCTCTGGGAGTTCGCGGAACCAATTGAAAATAATGACATAGAATGCAGTGCAATAGATATGTGTCTCCAAAGCTTCATATTTCACTTGGAACGAATCATAGTAGTAACTAGCAGATTGTATTTGGTGCAGACAAGATGACGAAAGGGTAATCAGTTGCGAAAAGTTTATGGTAATTTATAAAGATATAAAGCAAATGAAAATTAGTAGAGTAAATGAAGAAATATGAAGGTTAAAACATATTTCACTGTTAAGTTTTCACATCGTCTACCCAAAATCTCCACTACTGATTGATTTAACTAAACACTCCATGAAAATAATGAGTAAAAGTAAAGATATCACAGATTTCATACACTCATTCCACTTTATGAACCTGGATAAAACAAAAAAAAACATTTTGGACAGAACAAGATGGTAGGTGTCATAGTTTGTTTCGTCTGCTCCCCATCAGCTGCGCACAGTCTAAAACAGTTAATTAAATTCATAAACACAACAATTTTAAAGTGCATGATGTCACTTAATAGGAGACTGAGAAATTACTCTTACTCACATAACTCCGACTTGAGTTGAACTCACTACTTATTATCTTGTCCACCTCTTGTTTTTATTATGCAACTCCTTTTCCATTGAGTCCAAATATTTATTATATTTTTTGCTTTTCTTCTGTTTAAACTTGAACTTTCTGTGTGTTCAAATCATACAAATTGACATGAAAAATTAAAAAGACGGTTGTAGTGAAGAAAACTTTCTTTCCGACTAAGTCATCAGTCATGCATATATTGTAGTAAATGGGTCAGAAAGTTTCACAACTGTTTCCGGTCGAGGCTCAAATTAGCAAGATTACAGACAAGGATTAAAATATAAATATAAATAATAACAAAATAAACACAAGAACTGAATAATAAACGTAATGGGATAATCATTATTGACAGAAATGACTGTTACGTTGGCAGTAGTAAAGACAAAGGTTGGAGGCATCTCTTTTGAATACATAGCGTGGGATTTTAAATTTTAGATCTCTAGTGTCCCAGCTGTGCCCGAATGCCTTGATTTGGCTCCCTTTGAGAGATTTGATCGTATCTTGTAAAGGATTTTGAAGGACGTTTTTTAAATTCGACTGTTCATTTTCTGTTATTTCTACGTTTTTTAGTCCCTATTTGCAATACCATGTTTTTATCCGAACTTCCTGTCTATTTTATTATTACTACGCTTCTAATCCCTATTTGTAATCTTGTTAGTTTGACCCTCTATAGGAATTGGTGCTTAGACTTTCAAACCCATTTACATTATATGCACGTGAATGTACAGCCTAACTGATGACTTCTTCGAAAAGCAAACTTTCTTCACTGTAACCACCTTTTTAATTTTCCTATGATCTAATCTGAGTATTCCATGATTTGGAGTTATTTATTTCTGAGCACAATTTATTCATTTTGGAGTCTCCTGTTATCTGACATCAGATCATCTCCATAGATACATTAAAGTTGCTCTGTACATAAACTTGATGAATTATTTTAGGCAACAAATAATTAATGATAAGCAGATGAAATAAACGACGACGCCTACCATCTTATTCTTGTTGTTTAAGCACAATAAAGCACAAAAAAACAACGACGAATGTTGTTCTTTTGTGCCTTTTCGACCAAATTTTTTATTAATATTCAGAAGTTCAGTCAGACAGAATTCATTATATTCCATAGCCTCTAATCTTAACCGTAATGGAGTGGAATTCAGACCTAAACACAATGAGTCTTATTATTACTAGAAACGCACTTGGTCAGTGGTGCAGAGGTAGGATACTCACCAACCAGTGAGGTGGTTCAGGGTTCAATCCCCAGCTGACTCACTCTTTTACCTCGCTTAGCTGGTAATAAGACTAGCAAAGAGTGAAGGTTAGGCGTGAGGCTAGCAGCCCCACCTATTGAAAATAAATATCACAGCTACCGGAAATTCAAAGCTCTATCTTGAAGGCCTGTGTTCCGCTGGAAATGCAAAGGAATAAAGAAAATTACTATCTGTTCAAGTTCCTATTCTGTAGAGAATAATAGGATAGAATGTCAATTATTCCCTTTCATCTGTAATAAATTACGAAGGAAAAATATTTCCTCTTGATTAGAGTGATTGAGATGAATAACAGGAATGATAATAGCTCACTTTCAAGGTAAATTATCCTCATGACTTAAAGTTTCTATTTCTTATAGGAAATGAGAATTTTTCTGTATCTTCTGTTTGGAAATACTCTAGTTTTTAACATTGGTAAAAAAATACCACCTCCAGCATGGATAACATTTATTTTACTACAGTATGAATCCTATATTTTACTGTTCTCTTTAATCACCTTTATAGACTTTGAAAAGATCTTTTACGGTGTCGACCTTGAAGAAGTTTGGCAGCAGCTTTAACACTATGCAGTATTTGAACAAAGATAGAACAAAGACATCTGCAGGATAATATGAAGTCGTTTTATCTTGCAAATTATAGTCAGCTGTATTAGTGGTCTAGCGAGGTAAAGGAGTTCGTTGGTGGCTGGGGATTAAACCTTAAACCACATGCGTGGTTAGCAAGCATTTGACTTGTCAACTGAATACAGTCTAAACTATAAGTCACAAAAGGTCTGAAGACGCTGTTATCACAGTGACGTCGAACTATTAGTCGAAAGTACAAGCAACATAGTTCCGAAGTGATGTAAGTGGATA